AAAATAGAAATACCATTTGACCCAGGAATTCCACTTCTAGGAATTTACCCTAAGAATACAGCAGCCCAGTTTGAGAAAGACAGATGCACCTCTATGTTTATCACAGCACTATTTACAATAGCCAAGAAATGAAAGGAACCTAAGTTTCTATCAGTAGATGAATAGGTAAAGAAGAAGTGGTACATATACACAATGGAATATTATTCAGCCATAAGAAGAAAACAAATCCTACCATTTGCAACAACATGGATGAAGCTAGAGGGCATTATGCTCAGTGAAATAAGCCAGGTGGAGAAAGACAAGTATCAAGTGATTTCACTCATCTGTGGAGTATAAGAACAAAGGAAAAACTGAAGGAAGAAAACAGCAGTAGACGCATAGAACCCTAGAATGGACTAACAGTTACCAAAGGGAAAGGGACTGGGAAGGATGGGTGGGAAGGGAGGAATAAGGGGGAAAAAGGAGCACTACTATTAGCACACATAATGCAGGGGGTGGCACGGGGAGGGCTGTACAACATAGAGAAAACAAGTAGTGATTCTATAGCATCTTACTATGCTGATGGACAGTGACTGTAATGGGGTGTGTGGTGGGGATTTGATAATGGGGGGAGTCTAGTCACCATAATGTTGGTCATGTAATTGTAGATTAATGATACCAAAATAAAAAAAATTCACACTAAATCATCACAACTATCTAATTCCAAAACATTTCCATCCTCCTAAAAGATACCCCACATTCCTTAGCTATCATTCCCCAGACACCAAAAGCCACATGTTATATGATTCCATTAACATGAAATATCCACAACAGGGACAATTTCAAGAAAGGGAAAGTAGATTAGTGGTTGATAGGGGCTGGAGTGACAGAGGAATGGGGAGTGACTGCTTAATTGGTGTGAGGTTTCCTTTTGGGGAGACAAGAGTCTGGAACTAGATGGTGGTATTATTTATACAACACTGTGAATGTACTTAGTACCACTGAATTGCACACTTTAAAATAGTAAATTTTATATTGTGTATATTGTATCATAATACCCTCTAGCTCCATCCATGTTGTTGCAAAATTTATTATCTTGAAGGATAAGGTCAGAAGGTTTTTTTGTTGTTTTTTTCAGCATCTTAATCCAAATTCCTTAGTTACATGTAATCTTGCAGGATGACAATATCTATTTTTTCAGTTATTTTCAACTTCTGGAAAAGATGTTCATCTTCCATAATTTGATGATAAAATTTCTTTTCCCCCATTATTCTGCAAGCATCAATGACTGCCTATAAAGAGAATACAAAATCAACTTTTAAAATAGTTGTATAATAACAATAATTATCAGCACACACTTAACATAGTTTTTCTGACAAATACATCAAATATTGTTCCTTTCTTCTAGCAGCACGCTATTCAATGAAAAGACTGTATTCTCAAAGAAAAGATTATGTAAGGATTTTTTAAACCACTTAAAATTTGTTTGCATAATTATATCTACACAGTTTTAATATGTAGCTGGAAGAGTAGCTGAGTCTACAATCCTCAGAGGAGCGCAGTTTTTAAAAAATCTGCTTTTCCCCCCTTAAAAACATTCTTTTCCCTTAAAAAACAAAACAAACCTATGACATCATTTGTGCTGTCAAAGCAGAGAAAACTTATCTGGTTATTAAATAGGTTGCCCTAGGAGATGCAATGAAAGGTGTTACTGGGGCCAACTCTCTTTTATATGTTTATTAACCCATCCCTTCCAAATGGAAACAGGTACATTTCGCATTGCTTAGCCCTCCCCCTTCTTTTAGACTTGATTCTCAGTAGCTAGAGTAGAAAGCAAATGGTTTTCTTCTCTCCCAAATGTCAACATTTTGTACTCAAGGAAAGCACATGAGAGGGCAGAGGTGGAAGAGTCACAGAAAAAAAAGAGGCTCAAATCCTGCCCTGGCCCTATTTGCATCATACCCTTCTTTATATACCCATCCTTTGCTGATAGCTATACATGGACTTTGAGTAGCAATTGAAGTGCTCCCCACCCTCTTCCCACCCCCCATAAGTATGTGCTGACTCTTATAACACATATTTATATTACATATCTGTGCTTCTCGCCACCAAGGGTAAGCTTATGTGGAGGCAGACTGGTGTTGATGAAAATTCAAGTATCTTTTGATTCCAGATCAGTGTCTCTTTTCCCTTGCATCTCAGGATATGTTACTTGTGTAAGTGTGGCAACCCTGGTGTTATACTGTGGGTATAAGGCTTTAGAGGAGTGACTGAGACCCGCTCAACACTTGGAATCTCTGTTCTTTTTACTTGACACACAATACAACAGCAAACCTTAATGTATTTTCTATTCCAATTCACACTTTTGTCATCCAGAATATTCATTTTTAAATTTGTTTTTTAATTCCAAAGCTTAGAACACAGACACATATGGAAATGAAGGAAAATATAGAAATGGTTGTAGTTTTATTCCTAATGCATTAAATTGAAGGGAAACAGTTTACTAGAAATGTGATGGAACCTTCCTTTAGGCAGATCATTTTTGTTTTCCATTTCATTAGTTTCTTTACATATCGTGCATCTGAAGAGAAGGCAGCATTGGCATGTATCTCCATTATGCTTTCTTGCCATTAATTTCCTGCAGGTTCTCATTAGCCATCCCCTCAGTTACACTGAAGGTAAAAGCAAATAGTTGTACACCGAACAGGTCTGGAAACCTGTTATGTAATCTCAAACTATATAATTCTTTTTTGAGAATTTCTTCAGATATAACTATATTTACTTAAGCTCAGGTTACTTATATATGGTATTTCTTGTCAGTTCTTGCCTCCTCTACTTCACTCAGCTACCACCACCAATCTCTCCAAGCCCCAGTTTCTTCATTTGTACAGTGCCCCATGTGTGGCTCAGCTGTGTCAGGTGCACCCTGGTCTCTTAGCCAAAAAAACCCATGCCTGGCAGCACAGGGCTGGCTTCCTGCCACCAGTGAAAGGGATTTGAAAAGTCTGCCCTCCAATGGCCAAGATGTTCTTTCTCAGACATCTGCTATGTGTGTGGCCAGACTCAGCAAAGTCTTTCTGGATAGGAAGGGATGGCAAAGAGTCCAGCCCCAGATGAAAGGAAAGGGTGAAAACTAGGCAAAGATTCCAGGACAGCAGCCCGTCAGCCTAGGATTCAAGAGGCAAGTTCCCTTCTTAGTGGGTGACTCAAAGGGTTAGAGGGGGACATCTCACAATTAGACACCTCCCCCGATACCTGACATCACTGTGGCCCAGAAGCCCCCACAGCCCTGTGGCTGCTTGCTGGCCTAGCTCCATGCTAGGGCCTATCAAGTTACTCTAGATTCCTCAACCCACTTCCCCACCCAGCTGGAAATTCTCACTCATGAAAGTGGTAGAAACTGGCATCCTGACACGGAACAGAGTCTCTTGGTTTGGGGCCAGTTCAATTATAGATAGATTCCAAATTAAGAAAACTGCCCTAACTGCGGGTATTGCTTCAAACTCAAAGCATGGACACTGCGGTGGAAACCCAGAGAAGCGTTGAGGTCTCAGTTCCGCCCTGACAGGACTCTCCAAGTTCCAGCTTCGTGTAGGCATGTGGAAATAACATGTGCCCGAGTGATCAGGGGCCGCATAAGAGAACATATTTAGTGGTTGAGAGCGTGGGCACAGGAGTCAGGCTCAATGACAGTTCCTTCAACTTTCTAGTTGTGAGAACTTAGGCAAGTTACTTAGTCTTTTTAAAAAGAAGATAATAACACAACCTACATTCTAGAGTTCATGAGAATTAAATGGTAGTGCACATAAAATGTTTAACATCGTACTTGATAATGCTCAATAAGGGCAGCTATTATTAACAATAATGTTTTTCCTTTTTACATAAAAGCCCAACCCTCAAATAGGGATCTTCAGTTTAAAATAATAGTTGCTGGATGTTAACACTCAAGAATTGTCAGTAAGCCAGAGGTATCCCAGGCCATGGTGGTGGTGGAAGAGGACACCTTTAGGACTGTACTTGCTAAACCATATTATGCTGAGGATTGTCTGGGGGTCTTGTTAAAATGCAGATGCTGATTCCATGGGTCTGGGGTGGGGTCTGAGAGTCTGCATTTCTAATAAGCTCCAAGGGATGCCAGTGCTGTGGGTCTGCAGACCACACTTTGAAGAGCAAGGCTTTAGAATATTCTAAACATAGTTTGTGAATGAGCTACAGTGACAACCCTCTGTAAATAAGCATTGCTCTGAAAATAGACCATCAAAGTAGGTAACTGAAACGAGATCTCTTTTTGTACACATGGTTAACCAATTGTTCTAACACCATTTGAACCGCCTTGACACTTTGGATGAAAATCAATTGGTCATCTATGTGTGGGTCTATTTCAGAGTTCTCTATTCCATCCCATTGATCTACATGTCTACCTTTATGTCATCACTACACTGTTGGGATTGCTGTAGCTTTTCAAGTCTTGAAATCAGGGAGTGTAAATCTAACTTTTTTTCCTCTTATCCAAAGTTGTTTATGCTCTTCTACATCCTTTCACTTGTTTTTGCTTTGTGTGTGTGTGAATACATGAAAAAAGTCATTGGAAAATGGTAAGGAAATGAAACTAGAAACAGAAATAAGAACAAGGGAAAAGAAGGAACAACAACAACAAAAATTTGTGAAACTCCCCACCCTCCATAAGTGAACTTAGGCTAAAATCTGAATGGACTAAAATTTGTTTCTTTCATATTAGGAAAGAAGTAAACTGAAGAAAGTTGGATCAGTTTGCTAAGACACAATTTCTACATTCAAAAAGCAAAGGAGTTGAGTAAATTTTGAGTGAAAAAAATCCACTTCCACAGGTTTTCTATCAACCATGAATCCAAGTGGTACCAAAATTTATTTTGAAGCTGAAGTAAAGGGGAAAGGAACCCTAAACTGTTCTCTCCAAGTTGGGTATGTTCTGATCATTCAAAACCCCTTGTAAATGTTTAGTGAAAAACTCGTGCTGAAGAGTATGATCACATTTTTATAAGAACAAAAATTTTATATATTTGTGTGTATATTCTCCTGAGAAAAAAATTCAGGATACACAGTAAACTATTAACAGTGATCACCCCAGGTGAGTGAAAGTTGTAGCACAGAGAAGAAAGGCATAAAGACATATTTTCCATTTTAAAAAATCTCTGTGCTATTTTCCATTTTTCCAACAGTTACTTTGTAATTTAAATAAAAATTCAAGTTATTATACAGCATTTTGATAAGTTGTAATATACAGACAGTGCTTTCCAGTTGCAGCCTCTAAGGTTCTCATTTGCTTCAGCCTGGGGACAGTAGGGGCCACAGGAGCTGACCTGGGAGAACCCCAGTTCCTGGAAAAGTCCCATTATGTAACCTCAGAGACACAATGATTGATGATATTTTATAGGGACAACTATAAGTTTATTCTGTAAGTGAATGTGGCATGGATTTATCCCTTGAATTGAGGATAAATATCTACTTTCACATTTGAAGTCATTCCATACAAATGAACGAATATTAATGTTTCATATTCCATATGAAAATACTCCATTTGATACATTTCTGAAACTGAGTTAAATTTTCTCTGATATTGCCTGAGAACACAGAGAAAAGCAGTCTCTTTTCCTTCTCTAATATTCGTCAGAGAATAAATGCTGCACATCCTGGATCTGATTAGAAACTGTCAGGCTGTAATTCATTCCAAATAATATTTTAGCTAATAAAGGGAGATCCTTTGAAACATGATGCCTAAAAAAAAATACTACCTTCTTGTTGGGCTGTTTAATGGTGAAATAACTTAGTCCGTATACTTGAATGCAATTCAGATACTGTATAAATGTTGAGAAGCTAAATTAACATCAAATGTGCATCATGAAATATCACCTCACTCGACGGCTTTAATACATTTTTTCCGCTGAGATACTTGTAACCATGGCCTTCAGTATGATGAAAAATTTTAAACATGATGACAGGTGGAAATGTCTTGCCACTAAATCTGAAATAAGGACCCAAAACTAGTCATTTGGCATCAGGTTTGGGGCTCAGCTACTTCTTCCCCTTGTTTCTAACATGGAGGGTAAAGGCTATGCCAGAGTATACAAAGAACTGGTCATGAAATGGATTACAGAGGGTGGAAGAGCCACACTCTGGTGTGTGAGCTCATAACTATTTGTATATGTGGATCCAGATTGAACACATCATGGGAAATGAGACCCACTCTCAACGTAACTTTTGGCTCAAGAGTCATGCCTCAGTTTCTTCGTATAATCAATGTAAATAAGAACAACACATTTACTTTGCAATGAGGAGGTATGAGGACTTAAGAAAATTAATTTCTAAGACTTCTTCATATTAACTAAGTACTTCTTGAAATAAGTCAGTATAGAAACATTACCCGAATCTAACTTTACACTTCATGCTGGGATCTTTAACAAGCTCAGCCTCTAAGGGGCTCACTTCCTTCAGCATTTCATGTGTCACACGATTTTCCTGAAATAGATGATAGTACAGTACATGGAAGGTGGCACCCTGCCCAGACATAATTTAGTATAAAGGCAGCACAGTAAAGTGAACAGTACACCAGACTTGCAGTTCTGAAGACCTGGGTTCTAGTCTTGGTTCCCCCACTGATTATCTGTGTAGTCTTGAGTCAGTTACTTCATTTGTTTGGCCTCCAAATTTGGGTATGTGTCCCTCCTTGAGATCCCAGGCACTGTTCTTTCCCCATGACAACATTTTCCACGATGTATTGTAATCAACTATAAACTCGCCTTTGTCTGCTACTAGTCTGTAAGCTTCACGAAGGTAGGGGCAGGGTCTTTCTTCTTGATCACCATATTCCTAGCATCTATTACAGTGCCTGAAACACAGCAGGTATTAACAAGTATTTGATGTTGAATAAGTCATTGTAAAATGAGGATAATAATAGTAATGTTACTAGCTGTTAAGCACCTTTTATATACCACATACTATGTTAGATGCTTTATACACATGCCTCATTTAGTCTTTATGCCTTAGCAATATTATTTGAATATTATTATTCCCATTTTACAAATGAGCAGGCTGAGGCTCTGCGAGTGTCAGCAACTTATCCAAAGGCATACAGGTAGTAAGTGGAGAAGCCAGGATTCAAACTTATATTTGTTTGACTTCTAAAGGCTCCACTTTTCTCTCCTTATGACCCTGCCCAACCTTTATGCCTATGACAGTCACATAAAAATGTACACCAAGGGCTTTTAAAATGATAAAGCATTATTAATATAAGGTAGTAAGTCAAAATGTTAGGATAAAAGATGAAAAGAAAACTAAGTTCCTTCTTTCTGTCACTATAAGACTCTAAAATAATGACAAAACTAGTATGAAAATGAAGCACAAGTTCCATATGTGAAGACAATGGACAATGGACATTTACTTGGGTAGACTTTCTATGTTTTCTGCTTTTACTGACATCAGAAATGGGTCTGGGGTCAGATGATGCAGAAGTGTACACATTGCTCAGTCCTTAGTTGTTTTCAGAGCTGCTAAAATTCCCTTGATGTGACTATTACTAATTGTAGACTGCCTTAATCATGGGTGATTTTATTAGGAGAATATTTGGTATTCTACAAAGGAAAGCTTAGGACTCTGCCAGGGTTGCCAGAGTTATTTTTTGGGGGGATACTCATCATTGTTTTGCCTTTTTTTTTTACTCAAATAGGATCATATTCAGACTGCTCTGCACTTGCCTTTTTCACTAATGAGGTGTTTTCACTATCTTTGTATTGCAGCATCAGATGCAAGGCTGTGAGGTTTAACACTATGAGAACACCAACACTTACTTAACCAGTAAAACATTATACGTTTAACTTACTTTGCTGGAAGAGAATACTGCAATGAAGTTGTATATATATTATAGGAAGGATTCCTAGAAGTGAAATTGCTGGGTGGAAGGGAAGGGCAATTTTAATTCTGAGATTTTTATTGTTGGAAGATCACTGTCTCACATCCTCAAGTAATATATCAAAATCTGAAATATCATATTGCTTTCAGAAAAAGAAATAAAGTCACCCATGTTAAAAATAAATCCAGAAATATTCTTGTAGGGCTAGCCAAGCAAGCAATCCCAGAACCCCATGCAATATTATTAGATTCAAACAGAAGAGATAAAAAAGTTATATATTCTGTCTTTACTTAACAGACTTTTTAGCTTATAAGTTAATTAAATCTGTCGAAGAAAACAAAATGTAAAATACATACAGCTGCACAAATTGTGTGCTTTAGGAGTTGAAATATTGCTTTGTCCATATGAGATAACCAAGCTCTCTGTATTGTATGAGCTGAAATATCTTTATTAATTTTGAGAGAAGAAAAAAAGGTTAGAATTTGTGAAGCAGTTTTCATTTTCAAAGCCTTGGGGAACTCTGAATTTATGCTTCTTCCTCCTACACCTCCCCATTCCCCATGATAAGACTGACCTAATGGGCAACATTTGGATGTGGTAATTGGAACTGGTCATTTGCAGAATCTAGTCAGAATAAGGATATGAAATACTTGAGAATATTTCCCTTGAGATGAAAAGAAGTCCTGGCTAAAACTTTATCATCAAAAGGCATATATATTATAAATGAAAAGTGTGAGGAGACATACTTGCTTTCTAAAAACATCTATGACCTAAAATGATTCTGTTATAGTTAGTTCTTAAAAACCCTGTCCAACTAGTTCAAGAGCTATGAAAATAGAACATGGAATAGGTCAAAGTTACAGTAGGTCCAGTTGTCTTCTGGGAGCAGATGACCATGCCCTAGAAAAAGAAACTCCCTTTTCTGATCTTTGCCTGAGCCAGGCTCATCCTTGTCAGGTCAGAGAATTCATCCACATTGGATCATATCCCAGCACTGGCAGACCGTAGGGATCTCTCTCTCTCCAAAACCACTCCCCGACCCTGTTATTTACCCTCACAGGGCTACATGCAAAGAGAGGTAGGTACTCCTGTAGTACATCACCGTTCGCTTGCAATATGCAGACTATAACATGTAGAGTCGAAAAGGCCTCAACCTTGAATCCTAGCTGTGGTCATTTATTAGCTGCTTACCTTTCTGCAAATCACTTACCTTCTCCCAGTTGCTCCTCATTTATAAAATGTAATAATAAGACTGCTTCATAGGATCAAAGAGGTATGTGCTAACATGCCTCATAAATTATGAAATACTATAATTAGAATTATTATTCAATTTGAAAGTAATTTTAAAACACACAGAAAACCTCTAATTTACAAAACAAGATGTATTTTATGTTGGCTGGGTAAGTACTGTATGGAAACTGTCCAGTTGTGGAAAATGATACAAAGTGAAAGACGAGAGTACTTACTGTTGTACTGTCTTTGTCTTCACATTTGACAAATGTCCTTTGTGGCCTTTTCCTGTGCGTGGATTATCTGTTTTTGGAACATCAGTAACGGACACCTTGGAGGGATGACTCATTTTCCTTATAATGAAATACTCTGAAAGTATATAAATTAAGTGTTGGAAGTCCTAATCTATATTATTATACTGTTGGAACGAGACTCAAGTGCCATATGATTGTTGTGCTAATTCCAAAACTCCTTAAAAAAGGAAGGCATTGTGGATCTCTTAATGTTGCTTACAGTTTACATTCTTTGTGTACTAAGAACACTATGAGGTACCTAGGAAAGACAAGGGGGTCTCTCCATAGCCTTCCTACTGGTCTCCCTGTCTCCAGTCTCTTCATCCTCCTAGTCATCGTCCACACTGCAGCTGGAGTGAACTTTTTAGGCAATAATCCAACCTTATCATTCCCCAATTTAGAATCTTTCAGGGACACCTCATTTCCTTCAAGCTGAAGTCCAGGCTCCTTAGAATAGGGTTTAAGTCTTTTCACAGTCTACCTAGTTCCATTCTCTTTCAAATCTCAAAAAACCAACTTTCATCAGCATTCCTCTCTATACTCTATGAGAACAAAAATTTGCCAAAATCAGTCAATGTTTTACAACTCGGTGCAGCTGCCCATGCCATTTCTCCTACCTGCAAAATGACTTTCCTACCACCAGCAAACACCAATTTCTCCTTCAAGACCCCAGCTAATTGATGCCTCTTCTCTGAAGTTTTCCACCTCTTTTTTTCACAGAACTGCTCACTCCTGTCTCCAAGATCCCATATTACTGAATGTATTTCTCTTTTACAGTACTTCTCATACTGCACCATACTTTGTTTTCGTGGCTCTCCCCCAACAAGCTGGTTGAAGGCAGAAGGCATCTTGCTTACTGTGGAATCCTCAGTGCCTAGCAGAGTGAGTTTTCACATGTGTGTCTAAAAGCTTTGTCCTGGTTTTATCATGGAATAGCTGCAAACTTTGGGTGAGTCTCTTAACTTCTCAGTAGCTCAGGTCCCTCATTGGGAAAGTGAGAGGGTGTGTACTAAGTGATCTGATTCCACCTTTGATTTTCTATCCTTTGACACATTACTCCAGTTTGGATACAACTCCCAAATTTTTAGTAACTGCTTAGTCTTTTCTACTAAACCAGGGTTTTTAAATCTTTTCTTGTGGTTCCATGGGCCCCTGCAGACAGACTTCTTCTAAGGACTATGTTTTTAAAATGTGTAACATAAAATACATGGAATAACAAAGGACTCCAATTATACTGAAATCATTGTCCAAATATTTTCAAAAACAAGCTTAGAGAAATGTGTCTTCTTTATGCGTTAAAAAAAATGGGAGTTCTAATAACTGCTATACTTGTGAAGTGGTAATGAACAGCAGTGCTATTTAAGAAATCTGCCATGGCTGTAATATGCTGTGAAAATATCTATGCTTTCTATTGATGACAAAGTCACAGGTACCGCTGATAGTACTGTGGCTTGTTGCCTCCACTATAATGCAAAGAAATGCTAAATAAAGCTCAGTTAGAGGTTATGAAAATAAAGTTGCAATTTTTCCCCCATCCGACTTGGTATCACTTGAATTAAGAACTCCTGCCCTAATTTAGCACTATGTTTCATACTTTTATATACATATGGCATTCCTTTATTAAAGCAGAGCCTTCAGAATCTCAATATTTTTTCTGATGGGGAGGATGGGGATGGCTTGGAATATACAATTCTCTTAAGAGAAAGGCAGCCCTTAACATGTGGGAGTTGGCCCAGCACTCAAAGCTGGGCTTCCTAACACCCAATCCAGAGCAAAGCCTTGCTTTCTTGAACTCACCCCAAAATCACCCAACCAAAGCCCAAAGCCTATAGTAAATCTTCCTAATACCCTCTTATGGAATGCCCCACTGTTTCCCAAGGTGTGCGTTTTCTTTGCAGTTGAGAAATAAACACAACTTGCACAACTACAGATGTGTTCCTAGTGGTGTCAGGGGCACATCACCACACAAATCCCCAGAATCTTCCGGATGCCTGCCAGGATGAGTTTACACTTTCTATGGGGTTAGGATGTGAAACACAGAATGAAATATGAAATACACCCCTTTAAAAGACACTATAATCATGGTATAGGAGAGTTCACAATCTGTAAAGGCCAACTAACTAGGTTTGGATCCTGGCTTCCCACTTCCCTTGTGTATGGCTATGTACAAATTATTTTTCTGTGCCTCAGTTTCCTCATCTATTAGGTTGGGAATAATAATCACACCCTATTGGAAAGGTTAGGTGAATATCAGTAAGGAACTTAGATCACAGCTGGGCACATAGCAAATGCTGTGTTCCTATTCTTGTTAATATATAATTATTATTACTTATTTCGACTACTATTAAGAGACAAACATTTGGTTCACAGTGAGGGGCATGCGCTTAAATATTTTAAAGAGAAAAAAAATGTCAGGGCAGTGTAGCACACAGAAAAGACAAGTAGGGACTCTGGCATCTTACTACCCTGATGGACAGTGACTGCAGTGGGGTACGGGGGGGGGGGGACTCGATAATAAGGGTGAATGTAGTAACCACATTGTTTTTCTCGTGAAACCTTCGTAAGATTGTATTATCAATGATACCTTAATAAAAAAAATGTCAGGGCCTTTAGAGACCAAAGGACGTGACAAATTAGGTTAAATTTAAAACCTCAGAAAGGTCCAGCCCACGGAAAAAAAAATTTGAAAACCTTTTATGAGGTAAACCCAGGCCTCCAAAGTCCGCGGCTTCCGGCTGCGAGGTTTTCGAAGCCGCCAGAGGACCGCCGAGCGCCCCCGCCCGGGGGCCTCCGCGTACAGGATTCCCAGCCCACGTCGCTGGGCGCCCAATCGCCGCCACGAAGGCCAATTACCAGAGCGGAGCCGCGCCTGGCACCTCCCTCCTCGCGCCCCCGCGTGCCGCCCACACTGAGCTGGCGCTTTCCTGCCGCCTAGCAACTGCCGGCGCAGGGGCGGAGCCTCAGGGAGGCGGGGTTTGCGTTCGCTCACCGCCTGGGGCGCGACACGCTGCAGCTCCACGACTCAGCTTCCAGTTTAGGCTTCGGAACTAAGCCTTCGCTGGATTGACTTTGCTAGAACGCCATCGCCGGCATCGCGGCCCACTTGAGGTCGGAGGATTCAGGGCCCTACCCGGCCGCCGTAGCCGCCCGTCTGGTGGGCGGGGCCGGGACTGGGGTGACCCCGTCGGAACTGCCGCTGCCAGCATGTTCAAGGTGAGAGCGCGGAGCCGGGCCGCAGCTGTCACCGCCCTGTCCCGGCCGCTCGGAGCCCTTCCCGCGCTCTCGCGGGCCCCTCCGGGAACCAGGCCCGATTCTCCAAGACGCTTTTCCCGCCCCCCGGCAGTCTGCGTCCCGGCCCCGCCGTTCATTCATCGGTCCGCTTGGAGTGAGCGGCTGCCGGGCGGAGGCGTGAGACCCTGGGTGGGTGGGCCCTTTGGGTTGTGGTCTCGTGAATAAAACACTGAAAAGTTAAAGTACCCCCCGAAGTATCCACCTCCCACACCCGGCTGGCGCCCTCTTGGGCTCTGGGTGGTGTGAAGCCGGTTTAGGGCACTTTGGGGTTTATCTTTGGTTGCCTGGCAGGGTCAGGTTTCAGAACCTGGTGTGTGAATGTAGGGTCACCTTTGGGGAAGCCGCTGCCTGGGGGAGGCTGGCGTGGGAATGGCTGGGTAAAAGGTGGGGGAAGCTGGAACTTAGCTCCCCTCCCCAGTGAACATTTGGTATGGACAAATCGACCCTCTTCCTTACTTTTTTATGAACTTGGGTCCTTTGAAAGAAATAGATTTTTACAGTGAAGACTCTGTTCCTAAAGTCTGCATTTTAACATGAAGCCATTATTTCTACTACTTTTAAGAAAGTAAATGAGGTTTCCTATCATGAAAAGCAAATCCCAAGCCACCAGACCTTAGTCTACAAAACTGAGTCTTCAGAAGCATACCACCATTAAATGGTGCTAATGAAATCTCAAAATTACACTACTCATTTAAAAGTTCTTTTTGAGCTTCTGTAATGTGCTTTGGGCACATTAGGATATAAAATAAGAACATGGATTAGGCCTTCCAATCCTGGCATTGCCACTTTCTAGCTGTGAAAATCACTTAATCTCTTTCTGTGCATTTTATCCTATCGGTGAAACGGGGGGAATAGCATCTAACCTCATAGAGTTGTTAGAAGGAATAAATAGGTTAGTATGTGTAAAGCCCTTGGAAGAAGCCCTAGCACGTAGAGGTGCCATCTTAAGTGTTTTATTTTGATTTCAGGCTGCTCACAGTTTAGTTCAGACAACAGATACCATAAGCAATTTGCATTCATTTAATAAATTTGTAATGAACACATTATGTGCTAGGAGCTCAGCCCACTTTTAGGGTTGCAACAACAAAGACTATGCTGTGATCAGTTTATATGTGTATCAGCAATGTACTGTGGTAGTAAAAGGGACAGCAGGACCTCCTCTGCCTGTCCAGGGGTTCTTAACCTGGGCTCCTTGGTCCCTCAAAGGGTCTGCGGATAGAAATCGGGGTTCCTGAAATCTGATGGGAAAACAGTAATCTATTTTCACCAATCTCCAACGGAAATGTAGCATTTCCTTCAGTTATGACTTCAGATTAACTATTTCAGTTACCTATTGCGAGATAACAAACCACGGTAAACCAGTGCCTCAAAACAAGAATGACTTGTTATTTCTCACCATCTATAGGTTGGCTGGGCAGTTCTGTAGGCATCCCGCAGTCGCTGACTTCAGCTCGTGGCTATACTTCAAGGTGGCCTTACTCCCATATCTGGGGCCTTGATACCTTTCTCTGCCTGCTTTGGGCTTCTTCACATGGTTACTGGGTTCCAAGGGAACAAGTCCTAATATGCAAACACTTTCCTGTTTGCATCACATTTGCTGATGTCAAAGCAAGTCATAATGCCAAAGCCCAGAGTCAATATGGTGGGGGACTATAGAAGAGCATAGATGTGAGGAGGTGTGGTTCATTGGGAGCAATGAATAAGCTACTACAGAACAAACCACAGTAGTATTAGCAGGACCTGTCACCAGTAGAAGTCATAGGACCAACACATGTCACACACATTTTCATACCACATTACAGTTGTTGCTGATCTCAAATAATTATTTATGCTCACTACTTCAAAATTATAGTACTTATAAAATTCCGTTTTAGATCTTTTTATTTAATGAGCTAATAAAAAAGCATACATTACTATATCAGATTTCGGGTTTTAAAAATATTTTTATAACTATTTTATGCAATTAGAAGCATTATTTTGAGAAGGAGTATAGGTTCAACAGACTGTCAAAGAGGTCTGTGGCACAAAAAAAGGCAAGGAACCTTTGGGCATTTTAGGGGAGGCTTCACAGAGGAGACATTTAAATTTAGTTTTGAAAGACAAATGGTTCCTCAAGTGGATGAGCTGAAGAACATCAGCAATGTTACCCCACTGGGGGAAGTGCCAGTAGGTCAGTTCTGCTGTGTCATGGGGAAGATACAGTGAGCCAAAATTATTCAAACATGTAGTTTGAGTAGAGAAGATCACAACAAACCTTGGCAGATACCAAAACATAAGGAGTAAGCAGAGGAAGACAGGAGGCCAGAGATGTTTGAGAAGCAACTTTTGATAAGTAGAAGTTAGGAGTACAAGAAGGTGATGCTGAGAAAATCAAGGGAGGAATGTTTCAAGGAGGTTAGGCTATGTTAGCATGCTTTCACCTGGGAAAGTTGCTTAAATAGTAAGGAAAATTATCTCACAGTCCAAAGGAAGGATGGACTCCATAGGGTCAACAGTGTTATCAAGGACCCTGTCTCTTTTCCTGGTTTTCCACAGTAAGATTGGTTTCCCTATGGTTACAAGATGACTGCTGGTAACACATGCTTTCCAATTCACTAGAGTGAGCAAGCCAGAGGGAGGACAAAATTACCGCACTCTGAGCACACCCTTCTTTCAGTCTGATTGGACCGACTTAGGTCAGGTACCAAAATAGTCAGTAGCTAGTGCCAGGGAAATGCCATGCTCTGATTGGCTTACACCAAACAGGATTAGGTAAGGATGGGCTCATTTTACTTCAGTCACATGGGAAAGAAATGAATTCATGAACACAATGGGGGAATGGAGATGACATGTGCAACCAACAATGTCTGTTACAGAAAAGTGAGTTAGGTTAGTCTGGAGAAGTATTGATTGGGCAATTTGGAATACTTTCATGATCTTTAAATGTGTAGATTTACTGATGGAAGTGAAAAATTAATGTGGTTTGGTTACTGAAAGATGAATAAATGGACACAGTGGCAGTGTTCATAAGCTTAACTGTCTAGGGAAGGAGAGTATGGTAGGTAGAGGGACATGTTGGGTCATGATTCTAGAGCTGTTTTGTGGTTGTTCCAGCATTCAAGATTTGGCAACATTAATGGCCTAGGAAGGAATGTAGGGAGGGAGCTTTCATAAGAGAATTCCTCAGCTTTAAAAAGTAGGGGAGAGATTTCCTTCCTTCTGTGAAATGGAAGGAAAAGAAGGGTGGGAGTGATTGTGGACTGGTGGTCCTCAACTGGACGGTACCACTTGCTTGGGGTACAATTTGGAAACTCCTCTTGTTCTTCACATCTTTGTGTTGAATATTTGTATACTGAAATATAATTATTATAAACCTTTCCTTTTCATTTTCCATTATGTGACCATCACATCAGTATACTGGATTTATTGCAGTATTATTTACAGTGGTCAAGCTAATGGGAGCAACCTCAGTGTCCATTGATTAGGTGAACGTATGAGGACAATGTGGTGTATGTACACACAATGGAGTGTTAACCATAAAAAAGAATGAAATCTTGCCATTTGAGACAACATGGATGGACCTAGAGGGTATTATGCTAAGTGAATAAGTCAAATGGAGAAAGACAAATACCGTATGATTTCACTTATATGTGGAATCTAACACTCAAAACAAATGAACAAACAAAAAACAGAAACATTCATAAACATAAAAAACAGACTGGTGGTTGCCATAGAGGAAGGAGTGGGAGGATGGGTGAAATAGGTGAAGAGGATCTAGAGGTACAAACTTCCAGTTGTCAAATATGTCATGGGGATGAAAACTACAGCATAGGGTTATAGTCAATGGTATTGTCATAATTTTGTATTGTGACAGCTCTGTGGTGTGCATTTTGTAATATATATATATATATATATTTGTTGTTTGCTGTATACCTGAAAAGAATATAGTATTGTATGTCAACTTTTTTTCAATTTAAAAGATCAGTATACTGGTCTCTTTTTTTTAAAGACTTAAGTGTGTAGGTGCATGATGACTTATTTCAAAAGTGTTACTTAGAAAAATATTTGTCAAAAAATGGCAGTGTTAAGTCTAGTAGCTGAGAACTAGTGCTTCTCACACTTTAATGTGCATGTGACTCTTGTTAAAATGCAGATCCTGATTCAGTAGGTCTGGGGTGGGGCCTCAGATTCTCTATTTTTTAACAAGCTCCTGGGTGATATGAATGCTGGACCCCCCATCATACTTTGAATAGCCAGAAGTGAGGCAAATTGGTAGATGAATGGTTTCTTGTGTTTTCAAGATGAGCAGTTTTATGGGCATGGTGGGATTTGGAAGAGGCACTGACCGAGGAACAGAAAAGGTAAGTGAGAGGCATTGAGGGTTGTCCTGAATGCAACCTGGGAATTGGGATAGCAAATGGTAGGATTGATCTGGGTTTGAGAGTTGTCAGCTTGGTTCAGCTAGGACTGGAGGGCAAAGGAGTTGATTGTA